AAAGTACTTATAAGATTTGAGACAAGTATGTAGTTTAAATGGTATATCATACGTACATAATAGTTCAAGTTAGAAAGCATCAGAAATTTATAATATTGTCTATATACAGCATCAGGATCAGTATCGACGATCCCATCAGGAATAGTATTGATCCATCAAGAACGGTATGCATATCAAATTTTTTTTTTGCCCTATCAGGATCGGTACCGCCGATCCGTCAGGAATAGTAGTTTTGCAATAAAGAGAGTTAAAATAGTTTTAAGAGTAACTTTGTCAATTTTGATACTACAAAGATGAAATACAGCTTGTTATGATGAGGAAAGTGTGTAGAATAATTTTTGATAGACTTAGTGCAGAGGTTTATAATCAGATTAAAGAGTAAATAGCAAAAGTTTGAATTTTTTTCCTTAAAGGCTAGTTTTGTTAATTTAAAAGCTACAGAGATGAAGTATAGCTTGTTATGACGAGGAAAGTGTGTAAAACAACTTTTAATAGACGTAGTGTAGATGTTTAGAATCAGATTAAAGAGTAAATGACAAAAGTTTGAATTTTTTACTTAAAAAAATGTTTTAGGACTTTACTCTAGAATAAAAGAGCTATAGACTTGAAATTTGAGTATTATGTGTATTTTTATGTGCATGACAAGTTTACTTAGAAAGTCAAGTTAGGTTAGTATAATAGAATTTTGCGTAAACAGATATTTTTTGTTGGACGAATTTAAGTAAATTTTTTGTTAAGAATTTGCAAAGAGAGTTATGTGATTACCTTAAAAAAAAATTCATTTTTGTATTTTTTATAATTTTATTAGTAAAATTATATAAAATAATATAATTCATGAAATATTATTAATTAATTCTATCTACATATAAAAATACATTATAACAATATAGTTTAGCTTTATATTTTTAAATTTAAAAAAAAGATACATAATTTTAAAATTTTGATCAGAATTTCAAAATTATGCACCTTCTTCTTAAAATTAAAAAATATAAAGTAAAGATATGCCGGTATAATGCATTTTTATGTATAGAATAAGTTTTCTTAGAACATAAAGATATTGTTAATTAATAATATTTTGAAATTTATAATTTTTTATTAATAAAATTATAAAAAATATTAAATTTTTAAAATTTAATTAATTAATTGTCCGAAGCATAGCAAGGACTCTATAGTACAGCAATAGACATGATTTTGTGTTGGGTTCTAGTCATGTGTACCCATGCTAGCCAATCATCTATAGAGATCGATATGGATCAGCCTGATGTTTATTTTTGGCTTCAGACATTAATGGTATCTATTTTCCTAGTTCTATTTTCATGTTCTATATAATTTTGTTCTATATATATTTATTTATTAAATATCTAAATTTACTTTATTTAAAATATTATAAATAATACAATTATTTATTAATAAAAGAATATATTGTTTTATATTATTTAGCTTAATATCCGAATACTTTTAAAATATACTATATTTTTTAAAGTACTTAAAATATATATATTTTATTAATCGCAAATATTTTAGCAATAGCATTTTGTATTATTTACATAATTAACAATATTTTTTTGCTAATTCCTTTAATAATATTTGCCAACCCTCCTTATTAATACTATAATTTAAAAATTGAGCATTTGACAAATGAGGTATATGTTTTACTTTTATTGCTTCTGCTTTAAATTTACTTAATGTTTCTAAAATTTTAACTTCTTCCATATCTACTTGTTGTAAAAATTCTTCAAGAGATGAAATTGATTAATTTCATTAGAATTAGAATTAGATTCAAATAAATTATTTGCATTATATTCTAAATTTTGATTTGCAAAATAATAGTTTGAATTAATATATGGAAAAAGAATAAAATATAGATTTTGTAAGGCAGAATTTTTGTCTATAATTTCACATAGTCTTGAAGGAATTTTAAAAATTGCATGTAGTAGTAGAGATTCAATTGTTGCTATACTATTCATTTATAAAATATATAATTTATTTATTTAGTAATTATTTTATAGTATTTTAGTAACAAAAAACTTACTACTGCACAAGCCTATTGTCACGATTGAGAATAGATCGATGATGTATAAAACTTAAGTTAGTAGATCAATTGTATAATTATTTAGAGGGCTGCATATAATAAATTAGGTAATATTAGTAGATCAGGTAGATTCATTAGATATGATAGATTTAGTAGAATCATTAGATTCGTCAGATGTAGTATATTTAGTAGAATCATTAGATTTAGCAGATTCATAAAGAATATATAAGCATAGTATTTATTATTATGTAATGAACATCTCGCATATACTCTAATAAAGCACATATTAAATAAACTATATACTTTGGCTTTGCCAAATCGAATGTCCTCTTTCGAAGTTATTATAAGAGTATTGTTGAACATTATGCAAACCTTTTAGAGGTTTACTCTAATGAGTAGGAATTTTAAAGCATATGTTTTACCTGCATTACACATGTAAAATAATGATTTCTAGTAAATTTAATATATCCATTCTCAGTTGGCCAACAAGGTTCTTGACAATCACATTGTTATTTAGTATGAATAGTAGATATAATTGATGGCATTTGTAATTTATCTTTATCAGCTTTGTAATTAGATATCTTTGATTTGAAATTAGTATTTCACTAAAATTTCTTGGTATAATTAACTTTAGTATCAAAATTTGAATCATTTTATTAATTAATAAAATTAGTTAATTTATTTATATATTAGCAAAAATTTATTTATAAATACCTTTTGAGAAACTCTTAATCTCCTTTTAAAACTAATTAAAACTTGTATATCTTTTTTATTAGCTTTTGCTTGATTATATTTCTTAATAAAATAATTAAAATCAATTTTATCAACAATTTGCATTCCTAGTCCAGATTCTTTTCCAGTTTTATATGCAATTAAAAATTTAGATTTTTTAATTTTATAATTTTCTAAGATTAACTGAACTTGAAGTTGAATAGTATTAAGAAAGTCTTTAAATGAAATAGTTTAAATTTCTAAAACTTTTGCAAAAAACGCTTCATTATCTAAATTTCAATATATTAAACTCATTATCTTCTTTTTCAGTATCTTTGTTATCTTTAGAAATAAATATAAATTCAGCATTACTAAATTCAAATGATATATTATCCTTATTTTTTTTAAAAGAATTTTGCAAAAAATTAGATATAATGGTGTTAGATTTAGATATATCTAATGTGTCTTCTATATAAGTAAATTTACAAATTATTCATTTTGTAAAGAATTTAATTGTGTATTTTTTACAGAATTAAACTTGTATAATAATCATTTTGTAATATATTTGATTGAGCATTTTTTGCTGAAATAAAAATTGTTGATTCATTATCTTGTAATATATTTGGGCTATCTTTTATAAAAATATAATTTGTACTTTTATTATTTTGTAAAGAATTCGAATGAATATTATAATTTTTTGCTAAATAAAATTCATTATCTTGTAATAAGTTTGATTTATCTTTCATAGAACTATAATCTGCATATTTATTATTTTGTATAGAATTTAATTGAATATCACAATTATCATTTTGTAATATATTTGAATGAGTGTTTTTGCTAAAAAAAAGTTGCTGATTCATTATATTGTAAGAAATTTGATTTATTTTTCATTCAAATATAATTTGCTCATTCATTATTTTGTAAAGAATTTGAATGAGTATTTTTTGCTAAAAAAGAAGTTGCTGATTCACTATCACAGATCGAATATATAACTATTGGGATATGCCTATATAATCCTATTATTATACTGATATGAATATCGGGCTAATTTAAAAAGTATGATA